GCTGTCGGGCAGGGCCAGGCCCGCCGTGCCCCCAGCAGAGCGAAGTTTGTCATCAGAGCGAGTGCCACCGTGGGGCAGATCTGGGACCCCGGGAAGCCCTGCCCACAGGTAGGCAGGTGTCGGTAGGTCTCCTTGCTGGCTGTCCGGGTTGCTGAGAGTTGAAATAGTGTCTGGGATGCTGATCAAAGGGAGATTCCTTCATGCTAGTAGTTTTGCGTTTAAAACTTTTAATCATAAGATTGCACACACACACCAAAAATTGTAAAAAATACAGAAAAAAAAAGAAGATCACTCGTGACCACCACCAAAACCTAACCTGAGGATAAAGCCACCTTTGCTTGATTTATGGTTGGACAGTCCGTGTGTGTGTGTGTGTGTGTGTGTGAGAGAGAGAGAGAGAGGGAGAGGGAGAGGGAGAGGGAGAGGGAGATAAATTCTGACTCTTAATCTTTTATCAGTTACATCATTCTATATTATGACATTTAATAAAAATAGTTCTGCAGTTATGCATTGCCACTCTCACTTGTTTGGACCAACAAGTTGTTTTGGAATACGTTTCATTATAGCCTTGTAAATAATCACCTAACAAGGTAGAGGAAAATAAAGGAAAAACAATGTAATTTCCATTTACTTTGAAAAATGGGTTGACCAAAAAGTTTTATGGCCTGTATTCTTTAGATTTCAAGGGTGGTTTGGGATTCACTTCATTTTTAAACAGATTTTTCAAATTTTAAAATATTTATAGAGTAAAAGTGTTAAGCAAGTCACGAGAAATGTACGATTGAAAGAAACTTTCTGTAGAGCAAGGAACAGTGGTTTTTACTGCTGGAAACATTTGCTTCTGAAAGACTACATTGAAAAAGTAAAACAAGAAGGGTTTCCCTTTGAGGGTGAGCAGTTTTGAGTGTGTATCGTCTGGGAGGTGTTGGGGTGTTCACTCAGCCAGGTTTTTGGCCAGTGGAGCTTTTGTTGTTACTTACTTTTATTTTCCTTTTATGACTTTGTTGGACATTTGGATTCTTTAATATGTAAAGTGAAAATGGGCCTTTAAGACAACAATATAGAAGTAGCTGATTGTGAGGATGATGCAATACTTTCTGAAGTTGGAAGAGCTTACAAGAAGGAAGTTGTGGTTATGTAGCATCAGGTGCATTTGTTGTTGCTGTTTCTACCGTTTGGGGTTCAGTCCCCTGCAGTTTGGGGCTCCTTAACTGCCTGCATTCTTGGTGGAGTTGCGGTGTCCTTGTGACCTGTATGTGAAGGGTGGAGTGTTTGTGGTGATGAGTGTTCCTTGAGAGGTCCTTGTACTTCTCTGCATGATAAAGTCAATAGAAACTCAGATGGGAAATACCAGAATCTCCAGATTTTGGTTTCCAGCCCTCCTTTGGCACCTTGGATGATATAGGTAGAGTAGCCAGGCTGGACTTGAGATCAGAGTTTAGGAGCTTTGCTCTTCGATTCTGTTGCCTTGTAGGAACAGAGGAGTAAGGGGGTGGCCCGGTGGAAGGGACTTTCTGTGGTTACTCTGATGGCCAGCCTCTGACCCTGGGGACTACTGTGACTGTTAAAAGTAGAATTGGTTAGTGCTTAAGAGAAGTACAAAGTGAGACCTTAATCTTGTTCCTGAATTGTAGGAGGATGGGTGCTGTCGTTCATTCATTCCTTTGTTTTTGATCGTTTAAAATATCAGAAATAGAGGTAGGAAATATTCTTACCAGTTTTCTTTGAGGGATACAGAGGTACAGGACTTTTGTGTTACAGAGATGACTAGTAGTGTGGGTTAATGTTATTGTTGCATCTGCCTCCCCCTCCCACTCCCGGAATTCTATGTGCAAGTGTTCTGAGAAAATGAGTCAGTGAGATCTAGACTTCAGGCATCTGTAGATACTCCAGAGATCCTGGGGAGCCAGTAGCCTGTTTTGAGTCTAGAGAAGTGGCTGTGGAACCTGTCTTGTTTGGGGCTCACTGTAGGCACAGAGTGGGCCGGGAATGCTGCTGGGGAATAAGATCTTTGTGTATGTCGTGTATGTGTGTGTGGCAGGGCAGTGTGTAGTGCCTGTGCGTGACACCATGAGAACTGTGCTACATTTCCTTGTGCAGTCCCCTTGTCTAATTTTGGCCTGGTTTTTTGCTTTTCTTTTTGAAGTAAACCGTCTCTCTCCCTTTTTCCTTTCTAGTTCAACAAGTGCTGGGCTTGTCCATCCAAACTTTTCCTCACCCCAAGTACTTAGGGAATGTGAAGAAAAGGAATCAACACTTTCATCCACCTCATATTATCGATTCTAGTGTCCCATCAGTAAAAGAAATAAAATTATTTGGCAAGCTAGTTCATGTTCTCATTTAGTGATGGAAAATCGATCAGGTACTGATTCTAAGGCTGACGTTGCAGCTTTGTTTTTTATTCACCCCACCTTTAACAGATGTTTATTCAGTGCCTCTTATGTGCTAGACAATGGGCTTGCTGTAATTGGGGCCTCATCCTCATGGCAGGGCAGGTGAGAAAGGTATTTTAAGAATCACGTAAAATGCACAAAATTGTTTAATTCCACTTAAGAGCTGTGAATAGAAAGTAGCACTTTACTAATTAAGGTAGTATCTCAGAAAGAATGACATAAACCACAGCTAGGAATCGGGTAGTAGCTTTCCTATCTTGTGGGTTGAAGGGTGGCATGAGGCAGAGACAGAGAGGTAAAAACGAATGTGATTCTCCAGGGCTGAGCCATTCCCAGCATGCAGGTGGGGCCTGGCTGGACTGATGAGACCGACTGCTTGGTTTGGATGAGATACTGGGCCTCCCTCCCTTCCTTCCTAAGTGACAGCCCCGGCCCTTTTTTTGAGACAGGGCCTCAGTGAATTGCTAAGTTGCCCAGGCTGGGGTTAAATTTCCTGTCCTTCCTCAGCCTCTCATAGAGTGCTGGGAGTATAGGTATGCAACACCAGGCCTGGTTGATTGGGACATTTTCTAGTGGAACTGATTTACAGTATTTTTCCATTGTCTTTATGGGACAGTAAGTCCCTGGCAGTCACGAGATGCCAAAGTCTGTAGGTGGAAGATTGCTTCTGAGTATGTGTTGTAAAGTCCCCTCCAGAAACAGGGTCGGAAAAATGCAGATCATGACCAGCTGTCTTGTTGGTGGGTCACCGTAGGCACCTGGGCATCAGAGGGTTTCATCTCCACATTCTTTGCTCCCTTTTGCAGTCAGTGCCAAGGTAAGTTACACAGGGACATTTGAGGTGACAGCCCTGGTTGGCCATCCCTTGAGCTGTAGGAGTTGTGGATTGGAAAGAGTTCCGTGTCTGGTATAGGGGAAAGATTTGGAGCTTCAGGCAGGGGACATCAGAGTTAGAGTGCAGCTCCCAGCCTGTAACCTCCAGCAAATCAGCAAATCCCCAAATCCCCGTGAGCCTTAGTTTTCTCATAAGCAAGATAAATTTGGTGGTACCTGTGGCCCAGTGAGAACAACTGTAAGGTCCTACAGTCCCTCATTTGTGGTTTCTGAGATTTGGCAGGTGATGGGAGTTTGTACTGTTACCTTGGTACCCACAGCCTTTTTTTTTGGTGGTGTGAGGGGCTTTCCCCCTGAGCTCCATCTCCAGCCCCTTTTTAACGTGTTAATTTTGCTTTTTTGCTTTTTATTTAGTCTCACCAAGTTGGTTTGTTTCCCAGCCTGGTTTGAACTTGCCGTTCTCCTGCCTTCACCTTCCAGAGTGTTGAGGTCACAGGTGTGTGGCACTGTGGCCAACTGTATGCAGTATTAAGGACAGTTTTTATACGTGTTGTTGTTTGGGTTCACTGAGCAGTGGACGGGTACAGATGACTCATACTGCCTGGCTGAAGCTTATGCCTCTTGAGAGGTAACTCCCCATTTCCCTGTCCCCTCAGTTTCCGAAACCCTCCATTCTGCTCTTGTGAGTCTGTGCTTTAACTGTGTAGGTAGGTTCATCATAAACAGAGCCATGCAATCTTGACCCTCTCTTTCCTTTGCAGAAGGTCCTAAAGGGTCATCTCTGTTGCTGTGCACTGCCAGGCTGGCTTCTTTCGAAGGCTAAATGTGTCCCCCTGCAGGTGTGTATGTGTTGTGTTTTCTCTGCCTATTCTTTTGTTGATGAGTGTTTCTACAACACCAGAAGAAAACAGTGGGCCTACGTGGCATGGGTCTCACAATGATTTCATGGATAAAACGCCGAAAACATGGGCAGCAAACGCAAAAATAAACAATGGAACTGCATTTCAAAGCCTCTGCCTAGCCAGGGAAGCAGTCAGCAGCATGAACAGGCAGTGACTGAGTGAGGGAAGACTTGCAACCCACGTATCTAGAGAGGGTTTATCCCCAGGATGTGTGTGGAGCGTCCATAAGTCCATAGTGAAAATCTTAATAGCCCGATTAAGAAAATGGGTGAAGGACTTGAATAGATGTTTCACCCACAGCCTTTTAGTTCAGGTTTTTAGTAAGGCTGCTGCAGTGTTCTCATAAAGTTGGCGTTCGGACACACTCAGGGAGGGAAAGGCACTCTCTCTCTTCACCCAGCCTTCTCTTCCTGACTTCAGAAGGCTTTTAAAGATAGCGTGATTCTGATATTAGATGTGTTTGGGCACAAGTTGTGCATTCTTCCCAAGGTGTCATAATAAATGTGCAGGACAGAGCTGGCGTGGCACTGTGGTGTTGATAGTAATATGTGAAGTACAGCCTGCTTCCCTGAGAATTAGGGTTTTATCCAGGTTTTTAAAGCACCTGGGCCTGATGGATGCTAATGAGCTTATAAAAACTTATAAAATCCTGCAGTATAAATAATGAGAAGTTGTTTATGAGCATCTCTTGTAGATAACATTACAATTCCCATGTCCTGGGAAAATTAAAAATATTACTGTGGATATGTCTATGTGAGGGACTTGATTTGTAATGTTCTTTTCTGTATGACTTGATGTTACTTGAAAAAGGTAGAACTGTGGTCAAAGTTCTTTTTTCTTTCTTTTTTTAAGTGGATGTACAGAGTAATGTAACATGTTGGAAAGAGTCCGAGACTTTTAAATGTCCAGAATCCTAAGCTTAAACTCACCGTGACTTATGGCCTTTGGTTTTTGAGCAAGTCATTTATTTGTCTTCTGACTTCTTCCTCAGTAAACTGGAGACAATCATGCCTCCCTTCTTTCAGTGTTTTCTTGAGGGCAAGATAAAGGCATGTTTCCATGTTGGGGGTGCAGTGCCTTGTGACTGTAAATTATTAATTTAGAGAGTTCCTTAAGGTTGCTGGAATGTGTGGGCCACCTTCAGGAGGAGAGAGGAGGCAGGGCCGAGAACGGGGAGGAACCTCAGCTGCTTCTTCCTGGAGGATCCTGCATCTTTGGGTCCTTGTAGTTTCCCTGTGCTCCTGAAACCGGAGGTGTTGTGGAGGTTATGGTTAGTCAGACATAGATTTTGTCCTGGGTTATCCAGGCTTCAGTTGTCTTTATCTGTGAAATGCAGTGATAAGAAAACAACAAATGTAATAATGGCAGTATCATTGTTACCAACTAACAGAGTGTGTCCTGGGTGGCAGGCATTGTGCCTAGTGCCAGATGACGCTTGATCCTTCCTTCAGCGGGTATTTAATGAGTGCTGCTGTATGCCAAGCATGGCTCCAGACTCACAATTGGGAGTAGGATGGTGGGTAGGACAGAAAAAAAGCCTGCTGCAGGGAGTTTACCTGCTAGTGGGTGTCATTAACTACACACATACATAAGATGGTTCTCATGGTCATGTTATCAAGAGAACTGAATTGGGTCAAGGAGCTAGAGGCTGATGGGAGAGGAAGTGGTCTTTTTAGAAGGGTGAGGTCCCTCTGAGGAGAGTTTGAGATCTGAAGGAAGGAAATGGGTAAGCCTGGCTCCAGTCTACCTGTGCTAGCAGATGCTTGCTGTTAAAGGAGGGGCAGAGGCTAGTGTAGGTGGAGCCTAGGGGGTAGGGCAGCAGGTGGATAGGAGATAGAGACTGAGCTGGGGCACTGCTGGGGAAGCCATGGAGGGCTCCGAGCAGGGAATGAAAGAAACTGGCCTGTGTTTTATGTGTGTCACTCTGGGTGTGGAGGGCCAGTGTGGAAACGGGAAGACCAGTGGGGGACCGCTGCTGCATTGGGGGGATGCTGTAATGACTGGATGGAGGTAGCAAAGTGTTTGGATGCTGATATACTTTGAAGATGGGACCATCAAGACTTGCTAATGAATTTGGAGCTGATGTTCAAGAGAGAAAGGAATTGTGAATGATACCTGTATTTTTAGCCACAGCCATGGGTGAACGATGCCTTTTATTAATACGGGAAGACTGGCAGAGGATTCTTTTTGTAATGTACTCAGCAGCTCTGAAATTAATTAGTACTTTATTCCCATTTTACAGATGTGGAAACCAAAGATTAGAAAAGTATAATGTTTGCCTAGAAAGAAATCCAGATAGGATTAGGAGTGATTTGCGCCCAAGCCCTAATTTTCATCCCAGCTTTGCATTGCTCTGTAAATATCTAACCCTAACCCTAAGTGATGCTGGACTCGTCTGAGTAGCCTGCATATTGGAAATGCATCTATTTAAAAGTAACCCTTTATTAAAATACAGTTTGCATTCCACGCAGTTCACCCATTACTGGTGCACAAGTCGTGTAATTCTGAGTACACTTGCAAGGCTGGGCAGTCTTACCTGGTCCAGTTTTAGATTCGAGCTGTGTCTGTGCCTAACCACAGCTTTTGGCAACCACTTAGGCAGTTCATTTTCTCTTTCTAGAGTTTTGCCTTTTCTAGAAATATATGGATGGAATCCTACAGTCTGATCCTTTGTACCCAGCTTTGTTCATTTATATGATGTTTCTGAGGTTCATCCACTGCTGCAGAACACATCTGTTTTTAAGACACATGGCCTTTCTCAGAAGGATGTACTCTGTTTTGAATTGAGAAAAACATCTCCTGGGATTCTCAAGGTAATAAAAAATAATAGCATTTACTGAACATTCATTAATGCCAGCTTTGGTTCCACATTATCTTTTGTGGTGATTCCATGAGGGAGGTGCTGTGATTAGTGATTTATAAATGAAGAAGCTACCCCACAGAGGGCGTGGGGATGGCAGGAGCTGAGATTAGTTTGGAGTCTGGTCTCTGCAGAGCTGTCCCAGGCCATTCCTCCTTTCAGGCAGTGATAGGTTTGGAGCTGTGCATCTTAGCTGCAGAGAGGGCTGGGATCCCACTTGGAGTGATGCACTTACCAGGTCAGTCTAAAGTCCTGGTTTCAGGAGGGTATTTCTCCTGATGTTTAGTTTGGCATTACCATACAGAGATTATAGTGCTGAACAGTGATACATTTGTGAGGTAATTTTCTTAGCCATTGTATCAGAATGGCACCCAATTAAAACACGTAATTACGTTGTTAGGCAGAGCTTGTACGTTTGAGTTGTGTTTTATATATTGTGCTCACCAGAAATGCGTTTTGGTATGAAGTAGCCTGAGGGCATTCATTATGTTACTATTTATTAATGGATGGAATTAATTGAGTATTGTGTCCTCTGCAAGATGTTGATGTAGTTAGATATTAATGTATTTCCCCTGGTTCAACCAATCTACATTTAAGCAGTGTTTTTTCCTATCTACATAATGTCTGCGTTGGACAAGTTTATATTCTGTATTTTAAAGGAATTCTTTGTGTATCACAACAGTTCTGAAATTGAAAAATATTAAACAATATACACGAATAGTTTGGTCACAGTTATATAGATTTGGCCTTGGCGTGTAGTAAACTTGAAAGAAAGACCACTTTCATATCTGTACTCTACCCTTGGTTTCTGGTAAGACACTTTCCCACTATCACATCTTTCCAGCTTTCTAAAATGGAAGTATAGCATCTTAAACTAACTCTCCAGGTATAGCACATCTTCCATTTTTAGGGAGTTTTAGTTATAATCTAGATGACTAGTTCACAGTAGCAAAAATGAAAAGACTGCTTTTTGTGTTAGAATACCTGATTTTAAGAATAAAACGTTAATTTTAATCTTTGTAGTACTGGGGATTGAGAACAGGGCCTTTGCACTGAGTTATATCCTTAGCCCTTTTTATCCTTTATTTTGAGACAGAGACTCCATAAGTCACTAAATGACCCAGGCTGGCCACAGATTTGCAGTCCCTCTCCCCTGTTTCCCCAAGTGCTGGGGTTACAGCCAAGTGCTACCTCACCTGGCTAATAGTGTTTGATTTTAATTTAAATGAATTTCTTTCAACTCATTGTAGTTTCTTTGTGTGATTGCAACCACAGGGGAGTCTGCTTTTTTTTTTTAAGGTTCACTGTTGAAATTGGACAGCTAAGAACAAATGTAGATCTGTACTTGTTGGGCAGTAACAGTGGCAGGTTAGAAATCCTGTGGCTTAAGCAAGGAACTTGAGGAAAGAAAAGCACAGCTTGTGGCCAGAGGTAGAGACTTAAAGAATGCAGTGAAGAGGCTGAACCCTTAGTTGCCGTGGCTGGGCATAGAGGGTGGGAGTGGGTTGCAGCCTGTGTCTTTTTCCACCTCAGGTTCACTGATGACTGGCAAGGCTTTCAGGAGAGGGGCTGTTAATTATTGGAAAGCCAAACCAAAACTGAAATTGCAATAAGTAAGAATTGAACTTCAAATGTGATATATATATGTACTTTATATAAGTTATACCTCAATTATTTACAAAGAGGATAGTTAAAAATCAAAACAAAATAAAAAAATGTCTAGGATGCAGGTGCTAGGGTGGAGTGCTGCTCAGAACGCAAAATCTAAGTTGCTTTTTGGGTGTTGTTCTCCTCGCCTATCTTATAGGTACTCTGCTTGCTTCCAATGCTTATATCTTGGTGCACAGCACTGATTTTCTCCTTTTTACAAGAATAATTTTCAGAAGAGGCTCCAGGCTGCCAGAAATATATTGACAAAAACTGCCAAGCATGCCAGGCGTGGTGGCGCACGTCTGTAATCCCAACACTCACGAGGCTGAGGCAGGAGGATTGCTGTGAGTTCAAGACCAGCCTGGGCTACACAGTGAGTTCCAGGTTAGTCTCAACTACATAGTGAGACCCTGTCTCAGAAAACCAAAACCAAAACCAAAAACGAAAACTGCCAAGCAGAGGGAAGTTGCAAGTTCCTTCTTGTAATAGGCCCAGGCACTGGCTCCGAGTCTCAGCTCTCTGGCCTGAGGGTTTCCCCTTTCTGCTCTGGGTGGGGCCCTGCCATCCTAGCCTGGTTTCTGCTTCTGGGCTCTGTCCTTTCAGTGAGTAGCACTGCTGGCATGGCTGAATGTGCACGTTGAGAAATTAGATGGCAAAAGATGGGAGAATCCCAGTAACTGGTTGTACTTCTCACCAGCCCAACATTGATTTATTTGAACCAGGATCTGAAGAAAAGTCCACACGGTGCATTTGACTATTATGCTGCTGAAGAGCTTTATAAATGGAGAGAAGCTCTTCCTTTTTCACTCGACTCCCTGTGTCACTGGTTTGTTGAACAAATCAGGTCGCTTACCTAGTTTAGTGAATGCCCCACATTCTCGATTTGGCTGCTGGTTTACTTTTAAAACTTGTTCCACAAGTCCTTGTGTTTCCATAAACTGGAACTTGGCACTGAATTGGATTCATGGGCAGCATGGTGGGCAGGGTTCATTTGTTGCTGGTGTCATCTGGCCATATTGCTTCATCCCAGCACAAGGTCTGCTTGTAGTGAGTGAAACATTGATCATTGGGTTTCTGTCTTGGTGGTGGATTTCTTCATTGACTCATCTCCCAATGTCATGAGCATGCATTGGCGACAGTTGCTTGAATCAATTACCTTATGAGAAATCATTTAAGAACCTTAGTGTGAGAAGAGACTAAATCTGGCTAGGGTATCTGGGAAGACTGCCAACCTTGATGCAGCTTAGGGATGTTAGTGGAGAAAAGAAGAGTGGCTTGACTTTTCCAGCGATTGAAGGTACCTCCTGTCATTAGAGTCAGCTGCTGTTTGCAAATCAGGTTAATTGTATTATAATCTTATTTAGTAGCAATATAAAATTCTGTACTCTATGCTAACTATTGTTTACTTAACATGCATATCTGCTCACTACTTATAACATATGATTATGAAGTATAATTTCATGTGGTGCTGTAGTCCACAGTAAATTATCTTTTAAGTGATTATTTTAAATTTCCTGACATGTAAGGACATTTATGCCCTGTCTTCTTCTTCTTCCTCCTCTTCCTCCTCCTCCTTGTTCTTCTTTTTTTTTAAGAAAAGGTAACTAGTGATGAGTTTAAAAAAGCCAGAGAAGAATAATAAAACTAAAATAGTTTCATTTCTCTTCTGCCAAGATATAAGAGAAAAGGCCCCTTAAAGTCACCTTTGGATTTCACTGTTTAGAAAGGAAGCAATGTTTTTTAGAAAGGATTGCAATGTTTCAAGTAGGAAATAATCAAGATAGCTTCTGAAGGGACTTGGTCATAGCAAATGAAATTAATTTATATATCCTCCATTTGTCACTGGGGTGCACTGTGACATAGGACACCAACAGTTTGATGTCTGAAGACCACTAGTATGAAAATAGATTGATTTTTCCTGTCATCGCAGACCATCCTTTTGGACATTGCAGACAGCGTGTACCTAGAAACTGCTTCATGACAAGGACTTCATAATGGAGATCCTAGGAGTTGGGTGTACCTCCTGTGGCATGTCTCATTTAGGAGTCCTGCTTTTGACCACACACTTGATAGAAAATAAATCATGTGACCAACCAGACAACCTGTGAGACATAAAATCTGAAATCATAGAATTTGAAATTAAAAATGATGCTGTGCTGTCAGAGAGCCAAGAGATCATATGAGCTGGACCTCTCATTTTTGGTGAACAAACTAATGTTTAGATGTACTAAACAGCTTGCTTAACACTGTGCAGCTAATAGTGGGTGGATCTGGAACCAAACCCATCAGGGTAATGGTCCCGAGTCCTTGAGTACTGCTTGTGCACATGCTGAATGCTTCACATGCGTCTCCTCATAACAGCCCTGGGGTACAGGACTATAACTGTCTCTCTTTTGCTGAGGAGCATACTGAGCTGCAGAGTTGTTTAGGAACTTGCCCCAATTATAGAGGATTCAGATCTACTCACTCCAGAGAAGTCTGTACTCCCTCGCCCATTGCCCAGTCCCTTCCCTCCCCCTTCCTTCTGTGTCCCCATATGCCCTATTATTTTTAGACTCATTATTCTTTATTAAAGAAATGCTTTATTCTTAATGACCTATAAAATGGTCTTTCTCAGGCCTTCCACATACTCTTAAGATCTGAACTTTAAAAAAAAAAATCAGCTCTTTGTTAGGAATATGGCCAGTGGAAAGTGATTTTCCAGCCAGAATAAATATTATTTCAATAATTAATAATTTCACATGGCTTTTTAACATTAAAAGAACTTTTGAATGAGTGATTTCTCAGGACTCTTAAAAGATGTCTAGGAAAGTTTGAAATGATAGTTTCTTTTAATAAATATCCTGTCCAACTCAAGAGCTTTAAAAGTAATTCTTCTGATCGTTCTTAAAAAAAAAACTCACAGTGGGAGAAGGTGTCTGGTATTGGTTTTCTGAGTGTTAGCCTCTCTCTTATTTATTTTTCTTTATTTTTGATATTATGCTTTTTGGGGGGTACCAGGGATTGAACTCCGGTCCTTGTGCTTGCCAAGACAGGCGGTAGAACCACCGAGTTAAATCCCTGGCCCCTCATTATTTTTTTGAGACAGGATCTTGTTATGTTGTCAAGATTGGCCTTGAACTCCGAGGCTTTCGTGCTCCTCCTGCCCTTCCTGAGCAGCTGGGACTCATGGCGTATATCACAACGCCTAGGTTACCCTCACGCTCCTCAAGGTTGTTTACAAGGCCCCTCTTTTCTCTGTGCTGCCGCAGAGAGCCCAGTGTGGGTGCCTCAGGGGCATTTATCAGACTGGTAACCTGTGTT